TGATGGCTTCGTCACACTGCTGACTCATGTTCATCTTGGAGTCCACTAGGACTCCAAGATCCCTCTCCACTTCCGTGCCACCCAGCAGGTCATTCCCTAGGCTGTAGGTGTGCTGGACATTTTTCCTCCCTAGGTGCAGCACTTTGCATTTCTCCTTGTTGAACTGCATTCTGTTGTTTTCTGCCCACGTGTCCAACCTGTCCAGGTCTGCTTGCAGCTGTTCCCTGCCCTCCAGCGTGTCCACTTCTCCCCACAGCTTTGTGTCATCTGCAAACTTGGACAGAGTACACTTCACTCCCTCGTCCAAGTCGCTGATGAAGACATTGAAGAGTATCGGTCCAAGGACCGAACCCTGCGGGACCCCACTGCCCACACCCTTCCAGGTCGAAACCGACCCATCCACCACGACTCTCTGGGTGCGACCCTCCAGCCAATTCGCCACCCACCGGACTGTGTAGTCATCCAAGTCACAGCCTCTTAACTTGTTCAGCAGTATGGGGTGGGATACTGTATCGAAGGCCTTCCTGAAGTCTAAGTATACGACATCCACCCCTCCTCCTGTGTCCAGGCGTTTCGTAACCTGGTCATAAAAAGAGACTAGATTGGTCAGGCACGATCTGCCTGCCACGAACCCGTGCTGGTTTCCCCTCAGCATAATTTGTCCTGCCGGGCTCTCGCAAATGTGAGCCTTGATAATTTTTTCAAAGACTTTGCCAAGGATGAAGGTGAGACTGACCTAAGGATGGAGGTGAGACTGACGTCATCTGTACGTCAGACATCCCATAGCAGGGCAACTGCAAGCTATGCAGAGTTAGCATTTTTAAAAAGGATTAGCTGGGAGTGCCTTTGAGCACGTGAGGTCCATTCAGCTTGGGTCAGTATGGGAAGAGACCTGGGTGGCCATTTGCTGGATTCAGAAGACAAGAAAGATGATCACACATGGGATGGCAGGGAGGAAGTAGGATTATTCCCCAAGGGAGGAAAGAGCAAAGCAAGCTTCAGACAGAGCTTAGTGTAGTCCTTGCTCCCAGGACAGACCCGGCCCACTTCTTTAGACCTATCCTAGGCTGCATTAAAGGCTGCAGCAACTTCTAAAAGGGGAGTGCTTTCCTTGGCTTGCACAGACACTGAGCTCATTCTGAAAGCCATTTCTCTCCGAGTCTACGGACTGATGCTGAATGCGTTTCCTACGCACAAAATCTCCATGAAGCGCTTACTCTGAAGGCGAATGATAGTTTAAATATCAAGGACGATGTGGATTTGCAAAGGGCTGAAAGAGCACAAGGCTGCCTATTCATTAATCCATTTTTAACTGACAACAGAAGTCTCTACAAAGGTTAGTTCTGCATTAAAAACACTGCACAACCTCTCTTCCCATTTCAGACTGTTGACTTCTGCCAGGTTCAGGCAGCCAAGCCTCGAAACAGGGTCGTTTACAATGGTTGCTAAGTCAGGTTTCCCCATTTCCATCGGAGGCTGCCAGGTCGTTTTACAACAGTGCTTCTGTCCAGACCACGGCCTTGTGCACCTCTCCACTGGGGCATTTTGTTACCTGACGTTCTGGGTGGGATTCCACCTTTCGGAGGGCAGTTCTCCACTCTGTGGGTCATCTACCGGTGGGTGAAGAATTGAAATACATACGTCTCCATTCTGCAAGAAAGAAGTGGAAAGATTCAGTGTGCATTAACCACCTTTTTAGAGCCACTGAAGTGCTGTTTGACCCAAGTGTGCTTTGGATAACTTTTGAACAATTAAAGCCTTGGGAGTGGGGGAAAAAATAAAAGTTGGGATGGCTATGCAACTAAACTGCACGGGCAACACCACTCAGTATAAACAGCACTCACTACTTTACATGTAGAGCCATGGCCTTTGCACCTAAGGACAGGGAGCACACCAGTACTCGGGATTCGGTTTTTTGTTCAAGCCGCTGAGCTATTTTTTGCCTTGTTGCAGTTTCTAAAAATATAGGTAGGGTAGCAAATACTTAGAGAAAAAAAAAAAAAAAAAAAAAGTCCCGAGCCCCAAAAAAAGTCACGAGTCCCAAAAAACCTACAATTCCTTAGTTCGTAACCGACTGCGCTGATAGCTACATTATGTGAACAGCAGTCACGTGGGATCCAAGGCATGAGAGCAGATTTTGCGTTCCAAATGGTCACTGCAATATCCACCTAAATCATGGTTAATCCTTCAGAGGACATAGTGGTCTACCCATGACCTTCACTTCTTGCAGAGGATGAAGTTTTAAGGGACTAGAGAATGTCAGCAAGTATAAAATAGCATTACCTCTCTCAGGCAAGCTCAGGGGGTGCAAGGTTTTTTGAAGATACAGTTTAGCATCTTACTGCTTCCTAAGCAGTAGCAGAGATGCACACTGAACGCCGCACAAAATTGCACCCAAGTTGCACACTTGCTTAGTGAGTCTGTAAGCAAAAGAAAGGAGTAGTGCGTTTATTCCCTCATCTGGACTCTGACAGACATGTGCTCTCCTCCGGCAGGCGCTCAGCTGACTTCTGAGCAGGGGGAGCCCTGGCAGTGTTTGTGCTGGAACGTGACAGCGGCTCAGATAGGTTGGGACGGTCTTGAATATCTCCTTCCAGACACCATGCGAGACTACCCAGAGAGGGGAGATATGGGAAGGCAGAAGGTCTCTGAAGGATGCACAGGACTTTGCTGCAACATCCCAAAGGAAAAAGGGATTGTTGCGGGGCATAACTGAATCCTTTCAGCCATACAGCACATGTAGCCTGACCATCAGGGACACAGATGGGAAACGGCACATTTAAAATTTGCACCTCTGATCTGTACACTTTTAGGAACCGTTCTGAATTTGTCTCACAACAAGCATATGGCTACAATTCACAATACAGTGGCAATACTATAGGCAAGCTTGGCTTTATTCTGCATTTCACAGGAACAGCAAAGGAAGTTTGTCAATTTTGCCTCTACGCTTCCTACCTGCCCTGGGGAGAGCCGCCTTCCGTTTTGAATGGATGTCCCTTGATAACAGCCCTCCCACCCCCTTTACAGCAAGTTTATTCAGCGCGAGACCTCTGCTCCGTTCAGCAGGCTACAGAAACGCAAGTAAAACGTGCAGCAAAGTAAAGTGACAGCCAGCGGCCAACAGAGCTCGTTCCCGTCTTGCATAACAGCGACGATGCCGTCCCACGTTCTGGGCCCGTCTGACCCAGTTGGTTCGCTTTGCGCTCCCAACTAAAAGCAGCATTGCCAGGGCAGGGGCCTGCCTACAGCACTCCCACTCGGAAAAGGTTTGCCAGAGCCCCGCTGTGACAGTCTTAGTCATGGATTGTTTCAGCCTCAAGCACTCCTTCCCATTTATCCTTAAATGACTTATCAGCATTTCAGTAGCAATCGGCAGCGAGTGCTGTCCTCCCACACCAAAGGAGGAGACCCTGCCCTAGCCAAGAACTTGCACTCCAGGGGTATTACTGTTTCCCCACCCACGCTGCACCCAGGCTAACAGCTTCTCCAAGACCACAGCATCCCAGTGACTCCCCTTTTGAAGGAGTCAACAGGATAAGCCACCTCCTGAGCGTCACCCATGCAGTAGAGACACGGCCCATGTTTATCTGGCACTGACTTTGAGGTGCAGCTTTTATGCTGCGCTGCGTTTCGGAGGAGCGGGTTGTAGCCGTGTTGGTCTGAGGATGTAGGCAGACAAGGTTCTTTGGGTAAATGTGACCTCCTTTATTAGACCAACTAAATAGTTGGAAAAATTGTTCTCTGCAAGCTTTCAGGCACAAACACCCTTCGTCAGGCTGCTCTCGTCTCTGTGCCTGAAGAAAGGTGTTGGTTCTCTGCAGGCTTTCAGGCACAGGGACAACAGCAGACTCTCCCGATGCCTGAAGAAGGGTGTTTGTGCCTGAAAGCTCACTGAGAACAATTTTTCCAACTATTTAGGTGGTCTACTAAAAGAGATCGCATTTACCCAAGGAACCTTGCATCTCACTGTGGTCTGTCAGACGCACCATAGTTCAAGGTTTCAGGTTCGTGGATGCCAGCCAAGCACTTAAGGCATGGACAAACTGCCTAGTTAGCAGGGTGGAGGGGGGATGAATTTTCTACACAGCAGCTGATTCAAGAGCTGGGTCTGTGCACCTGCCCCTATGTTATAGCAAGTGAAAGCCAAATGCATGTAGCTTGAAACTCAGTCAAACAGGGCTAAACTGACACAGTTTAGTTTTCACTTACTGTAGCATAAGAGCAGCTACATGGAGCAGCTGAGCAGTGATTAAGCATCCCTGTGCCCTTTTCACCTGCTGCGGTCTGTTCCTCTGTCCACATGTTGAGTTGCTCACCTAAACGTATCAATGACACTCATGCTGTAGAGTTTGCTGGCTTTGCAGGATACTTCTCCAACCAGGAGAACAGTAAACAGAAGGACAGCACAGCACCTTCGAGCTTCCAGATAAAAGCTAGCAATGCTAAAGGTACACAGAACATGAACCAGTTAATTCCCTCGTGGCTCTTCATAGGGGAAAGCAGCAGATTTGGACCCGCTGTCCTTGCAACTCGGAAAGTTGTGTACGCGGAGGTTACAAGCTGCTGATTAATTCTATGCCCTGCACTGGCTGCATTAACGTTTCCAACCGGCGTGTACAGCTTCAGCGTCAGAAAACGTGGCCCGGGGAAGTGCCGTTGGGAGTCCAGCAGAGGGAGGCTGAACTCCGGGAAAGGCCTCCGCAGCGATGCGAGGAGCAGCTGTAGCCCAGGGTAAGCATGCAGATTAGCAGGTACTTTGCCGTGCCAGGAGGTCAGAGGAAGTTTAAGGAGCAACAGGGAGGGCAAAGGAGAAGCTCTTCCTTTTCAGCAGTGACGTCTCACCTGGCACCAGCAGTCAGGGGACAGGGACGGCAAGGGCAGGCCTGATGGGCTGGTACACGAGGCTAAGTGCAGCCGCGGGGAGAGGAGAGATGGCTCTACACAGAGGAGAGATGGCTCTACACAGCTGGAGGATGTAAACAAAAGGTGGTACAAGGGGGAGGAACTGGATAGCACAAAAGGGGAAATTGTGGCTGATGATTGCTGGGCTTCCTGTGGGTTGGATTTCACATGACGCTGAAGCCCTCTTGCTGGGGGACATTAAAGCTAGCGTTAAGCACAGACCTGGCAACAGAACCAGACGGCCAACGGAGCTGGATGTGGCAGATATCTGATTCCTAGCAGGGTGCGATTAAAATCAGGTTTTCTTTAAAGCCTGTTTTAATCAGAACCCCCTCGATGACTTCCCACGCTGTCTCATTAGCTTCTTTTATAGAGCACTTGGGTCTTTTTTGTCCACTGCACCTTACAAGACCGTGGAGCACGGGGAAGAGGAGACCTCAAGGGGTCGTCCAGTCCATCTCCCTGTTCCAAGGCAGGATTAGCCGTACCTCAACCATTCCCAACAGGTGTGGGGCTAATCTGATCTGAAAAGCCTCCAGCAATGGAGCCCGTAACTCCCCTTGGTAATCTATTCCAGCAGCTGTTTCTGCTTACATTGCCAATGTCCAACCTAAATCTCCCTTGTTACAGTTTAAGCCCGGTACTTCTTACCCTATCCTCAGCAGACATGCAACAGCCTTTTACATACTAGAGACCCATACCTCCCCTATGTCTTGTCCCGGGAGAAGCAAAAATGGGTTTTGCTGCTTCTTGAGAACAGAAGTTAGAAGTTTCCCGAGACCCCTAGGCAGCTGCTGCTCTCGTCCAGACTTTCAGCAGGTCCATACCTTTCTCGAACTGGGGTGGGCACGTGATTCGGCACTCACAGGGTCTCGGCTGGAGCAGAGTGAAAGGATTACTTCACTTGTCTAACATATTGGGCGGTATAAACAGCAGCCTCGTGTGTTTGTTTCTGTGCAACAGTACACCACCGCTGACTCACGCTGTTTGTGAGCTGTAACTCACCCATCATCTGTGTACTCAACCACTCCCCACTTTGTATTTGGGCTGTTGATACATGCCAAGTACAACATTTGGGAACTGTCTTTACTGAACGGCACCCATTTCAGGCCACGTCTCCAGGTCATTTCGATTCCTGATCCTACCTTCCAAAGTCCTGGCAACCCTTCCCAGGGTGGGATCATTTGCAAGCGTACCTACCCCTTCCCGCTGCCAAATCAGCAATACAAATATTAGCCAGTGTCGCAACTAGAACAGGCCCCTGAAGAGCTCCTCCCTGCACTGACCTCTCGGGTGGACAGGACGCCATTTGGGAACTACTCGAGTAGCCATGCTTCCAGTTCACAGTAGTTTCCTCAAGACCAGTGGGAGCCACCATGTGCATCAGGTGTGCCACAAATCAGCCCCACATCCTCCCCGAGTGCCACTCTGATCCTTTCCTCTGCTTTCCTCTTTCCTGCCCTGTGCTCCCTGCTCAGTCTGCTGCTCTGCTCCCTGTCCCATCTGCCACTGTACCTGACCTCTCCCGTCTGCCACGTGCCAGACAGGCTGCAGGTTAACTCCCCTCCGATCTAGACCCCTTTTCCCTAGCTTATGGAAACAGCATGCAGGCCTGTATTAAAAGCCTTACTAGAGTCAAGGTGCATCGCATCACATCTACTGCTTCCCCCTCATACTGAAGGGCCCGTTACCTGGTCAGGGAAGGAAATAAGGGCATCTGATATGGGTTCATGGTGAATCCAAGCAGGCTGTTACTCATCACCTTTTTTTTTTTTTTTTTTTTTTTTTTTTTTTTTTTAATCTTCTTGGCACTCGCAAACAGATTGATTGCTTGTTCGTTCCAATAGCTTTCCGGGAATGGACTTCTGGCAGCAGCAAGCCTCCAGCATTTCTGCCCATTTACTCTCGAAGGACTGTCATTTGTAGCTGTCCTGCTTCGCGTCCACTGCTTGGCCTTCCTATCTGTGTAACAGCCTACCAATTCCACCCGCTTCAGATTCCCTTGCTTCTTCCTAGTGTCTTATGTTTAGGGCCAGGTCCACACAAGGACCAAGCAGATGGTAGGTGCCTAAATCCAAACCTGTGATCGAAACCCCCTTGCTGGATGGCTGCCTGTAGTTGCTTCCCAAAGGCAGCTGCACTCACTTAGCGAGTCCCTTTTTCACTTGGAGGTTCCCTAAACATCAGTTCTGCATGCTCCTGAATGCACCCAAATCTGAGATGCAAGGTGCCCGAAACCCTGCCTAAGCCCATTAAGGATTCATAAGCTAGGCACAGCAGCACCCAAGTCACAAGGGCCCCAACCTGGCAGGTATATTCTCAACTTGCTTAATGTGTTGGACAGCACCAGTTTCAGTACAAAAAGTCTTCAGCCACAGCTGCTTTCAAGCACACCTGCAGAGGCAGCAAGGCCTGCCCTCCATACCAGAGCAGAGAGGCTCGAGAGGAAGACCTGGGTTCTAGCCCTCCTCAACTCGAGACACAAACCCACATCTCTTGCAGAATCCTCTAACCAACAGGCTACAGGCTGGATGGGTCCTTTCAGGCCAGACACTGAAGACAATTACTGTACAGCCAAGGGTGTGAGATTAACCGGGCCAGGAAAAGTAGAGAGGCCTTACGGGTGCCCCCATCCTAACCCGTTTTACAGCCCGAAAAGGTCAGAGCAGTGTCCGGTGAAGTGGGAGAACACAGCAGCCACTTCCAGCCATAGTTGGAGTCAACAGCATGGATGCCATGCACATCCACTGCTCAGCAGGCTCTGTGACTGCCAAGGGACTGGAAACTTTGACGGCCTTTATGCACCGCCCAGCACTCAGCCACAACGCAACACAGCTTAGGTGGGAGCAAAGCACCCATGTGGCCAAATCTGGAGCCATGCTCCCGTGTGCTGCAGCTCGATGGGACCCCTTCTCAGCACCCCTGTCAGTGCTCAGCAGTAGGCCTGTGAGAATCAGGAAGTATTCAATTTGGATTCAGCCAATTCAATTTGGAGATTTGGATCATTGTCCCGAATTGATTTGGCCAAACTAGCTTTGGAAGATTCAGTGCTGATTCGGAGATTTGGTGATTCGGCCATAAAGTGTAATGGGGAAATCACTGAAATACCTATAAAACTTTGTCATTTTTTGGCAGATTTGGATGGAAACAGCAGGGATGGTAGTCAGAAGGGGTACGTTTCAAGGAGATAGGTGCAAGGGTTTCTGAGAAACTGCACCTCAAACTGCTGAAAGCAAAACTCGTGTTACTTGTGCATGTTAAGGCAGATTTGGATGAAACTAGCAGGGATGGTAGCCTGCAACAGGGGGCCTTCCCGGTGCCAGTAGATCTCCACCTGCCCACCTGTTTCTGGACCAGCCACCTGTCCCTCTTTTGCTCAGGTAGAGACAGCTCATAAAAGGGACAGAAAGGCTGCAGACAGAGGCTTCAAGTCAGTCCTGCTTAGGTGTATGCAAAAAGCAATTTGGATTTGGCCCCGAATCCCAAATAAGCTGCTGTTCATAGTTTCAAAACCAGAGGAAGGAGTTTTCACAAGCTATTTTGATTAAGTTTCGAAGTTCATTCGGTCAAATATATGACGACTAAGCCACGAGAGAGGAGGCTGCTCGAAGGAAGTGAGGATTAGTTTCTTAGATGCGGATTAAAATCCCCCAAGAATCTGTATAGGGAAAAAAAACAAACCCCCCAAACAAAACCACACAGCCCATCGCACCCAAAACTAAGTTTCCCCTATTTCAACTTCCCTACCACGGCAGACTTGCAGAGCGGCTGCACACCTCTACACAAACCCTTCACCTCTAGTTAAGCAGCTGAACCTAAATTTCAAGCCATGAAGCCTAAATTGTGACAGACACTTCGAATAGGGACAACGAAGGCACAGAGTGAAACGTTCAAGGCCATACACATAAGCCTTAAGACTCAACACCATTAAGAGGAAAATTCCTCAAAAGCAGCAAAGGTGCCTTACCTCATAGATGTTGGGGTGCCACATTTTGGTCAGGAATCTGAAGGTAGGTGGTGAGTATGGATAGTCGATAGGAAATTTAATGTGAGCCTGCAACAACAAGAGAGAGAGAGAGAACCTTAGTTTTCAAGACACAGAACACTTGGAGACCACGTTGAATGGACATCAGCATCTCTCATCTCCAGCCCCCACAGTGTGACCGGTCATAAAGGAAGCAAAATTCCCCATTTTAGACTACTGCCGATGTGGACCTTTTAAAATGCACACAACAAAATATGGACTTTAGCTCTGCCGAGCCAGGTGTGAGCGGATTGCTAATGGAAAAGGAGCGTGTGCGTCCAGATGGAGTTCAGACTGGTCTCCTGGTGAGCTGGATGAGCATCTACCTCACCTTCACAATTACTCAAGCCACTCAATCGGAGCAGTCTGAACTGTTGGGAATGGGTCTTTACTGGTAATACTGGAAGACCTGGGGGGGTTGTGGCAGTGAAAATAGCCCTGTGAGGTACACCTAAAGCTAGGTATTTCAGTTAGCCAGTACTTCCGCATCTTGGCACTCTCCACATTCAAATATTAGAAAGCTTGCATCAGTTTTAGACCTGTGTAACTCAGCATGATTAATTATAAATGTTGATAACTTCCTTGGATTATTAACAGCGAGTTGAGACACCCAGAGCTTTAAAAATCAGCATTTTTTTTTTAATTAAGAAGTGATGGCACAGAAGCTTAGACATCAGTAAGATTTTAATCTGTGCTGAAAGGCTATAGCCAGCCTCACGGTAGCGATAAGGTTGTAGCCTGTGCTCCTTGCAGTCAACTAACACATCTCAAAGTCTGCCTTCACTCTGATTTTACAGAGAGGACTCCTCTCTTCTGCAAGGAGTCATAGGTAGCTGGTCCACGACACCGACGGGGCCAATTTGGCTACTGCTGGTTTCGTTAGCAAATTGGCTTACAGTTCAGATAAGAGAGGGAGCAAACCAGAATATGAACCCAATACAAAAGTTCAGCAAAATGCCAGGTAAGACCACTCCAAACCAAGATTTTTTTTTTTTTTCCTTTTGCAATCTCAAGATGTATAAACTCAAGAGCACAAAAGCCCAGGACTGAACTGGATCCTCTGCCCAAGAGTTTTATTACCATCCACTGGTCACTTCACCTTCTCAATCTGCTAACATCCTAACCTTGCTGCTGGGCCCATCCAGCAACTTCAGCCTGAATTGGCACACTTATGGCAAGGGTGGCCAATGGCAGACTGGAGAGGGGGACAGGTAGAAAAGTGGTAGATAGGGCAGGGAGAAGAAAGCAGAGCAGCAGCTTGGCTGGGGAGCAGATTGGGTAGGGGAAAGGAACTTGGCTGAATGCGAGGGGCTAATTTGTGGCATGCCTTCCAAAAAGGTGAGCCCCCAGAAAATTAAGCCTTTAAACTTGAAAATGCAAATAAGAGCCTAAATTAAAACACAACAGTATAACTGTGACAGACAGGCCAAATTTCCCTATTGTTGAGCTATATTTCTTGCATGAACTGTAGATGCTAAAAACTACTGAATAGCTCTTAGGGCACCAGTTCCCGGGTTGCAAGTATAGCTGTGGGGTAAATCTGAGGGCTACATGATTGCCTGTGAAGACAGAACTGCTGCAAAGCTGAATGCAATAAGTGCACTACATGCATGCGATAAATCCATGCGCTTTGGCATGTCCCACGATAGTGCTGGGCGGGACAGAACATGCAGGGAATGTTCCTCGCGAGTGCAGGCAACGCATGGTCCAAGCACGCACTGGGACCAGCAAAGATCAGTGATGCAGACTGTGCAAACATGCAGCTTTGTCTAGCTGAACAACATGCTCAGGTGCACCAAGGTATTTCAAACAGAGAAGCCAAGCAGCCTTTAGCCCCAGAGGTCAGGATTTGGCCCTGCCACCTGCTGCAGCTGTAATTTGTGGGATTAAAATACACTAGGAAAGCCCCAGAAAGTGATAGGAAGGGGGAATTTTGCAAGGATCCCTTTCACCTCTCCATCTCCAAATCACTTCCCATTTGAAAAGGGAAATCAAATACTTCTCTGGGACGCTCCCGAGAGCCAGGTCCAAGAGTATTACTCAGCACTTCGCTTTTGTAATGGAAGTGATAATTTAAAGCAGCTTTGCACCAGTTGAATGTACTTAAAACATTTAAATAAGTAAAGGAAGCCAAGAGTTTAGGGAAATGCTGCCAGATGGCTGATGGAGGCTCACTAGCCGCAAGAGCTGGGAACCCAGCTCTCTCACCAGAAACTCAATCCCCAAAACAGCCAACTATTCCGCTCACTGGAGAAAGAGGCAGTTGTTTTTGGAGAACAAATTCAATCTCCACCACCTCGCTGGCCTGAAGACTTCTGGATACTTCACGGGACAGACTAATGGAAAGGGGCTCATGAGACAGGTCGTGTTTGGTGCCATGCTAATTTAGCGCCAGAGGCCCAGGGTGGGTGGCACTTGGTCCAGCCAGACCTCAACTCAAAGTGGAGTTGTAGAGCGAGTGCTTCGGGAGGCTCCAGACAAAGCTCTGGAAAAGACACCGTGCAAGCACCCATGCGACTGTATTTACACTTCCGATTTCCTAAGCCCCTTTAACAAGGATGCAGGGAGTAAGCACAGCAACCACGCTGTGAATGCCTGCTCTCTGCCCCCTTTGATACTACTGCGTGTGGAGGTGGGTGCAGGGTCAGACCTGCATTTGCCCCTTGGCAGCACTTTGTTTTTGGAAATACCAAGGGGAGCAAAGCCGATCACGGTCGTATTAAGCCCGATGAAATGGGCTGCCCGAGGGCTCTTTCCCACGTCATTATTTGACGCGCTGTTCAGCCTCTTCAACTGGCGCGCTGACACCACGGTCCGCAATTTCCAGAGATTCGTAGGCACGGCGCAGCTATTTTAGTTGACGACTTCCTGTTCTCTTGCCTAACATAGCCCAGATGCTCTCATTAGTGATCCATATTTGGAGTGTGTTATTTGGTTTTCCCCATTACTCCATGCCACATTATTTAAACTGGGTCAAACACAGCAGTTGAGGGAAACCTCAGAAAGCTAAACTAGCCGTTCCAATAGCAGGTTACATTAGTAGTCACTACTGAAGTAAACCAAAAAGTTTCCAGCCCTTCCTTAAGGAAGCTTGGACAGCCTGTCGCTATGGACAGGATATAGCAATTAACTGTCGTCTTTCCCATTTAGCAATCATTTTTAGAAATATTTAGTCCACCCAGTACGTTATAGAGTAAGAGGGCATGATAGCATCCATTACGACCTGTACCTAACCCGAGTTTCCAAATATTTCTATTGCACTCAGCTTGCTTAGGAAAAAGGGCACGTATATTTATAAGAAACCAGCAGCCTGTATTAAGATCACGAGGCTGAGATGGTGATGCAACTGCTGTAGAAAAGCATTGGTGTACATCAGCAAGAGCTGCAGGTATTCAGTACCTTAAAGCTTTTAGCTTGGAAGGAGTGAGAATAAGGCAGGTAACATTTCAATATCAGCACTGAACCCCCACCCCCAAAAAAAAAAGCCAAGAAAACCCCCCAAAAAGACCAAACTCTGCCCAGGCAGCACCAGCGAAACAGCTGCCTGCAAGGTGGAGGGCAACCCAACAAGCTTAAATGGCTTACACGGTTCCAGGTAGGTAGTGAAGATCTGGACAAGATGAGATACTTCGGCAACTGAAAAGCTGCTTAATGCGTTCCTGCCATGCTTCTGCATTTTGATTATGAGAAGCAGGGGAAGGAGTTACCATCCACAGGGTATCCTGCACTGCTTCACCGCCTTTAGTCATCTGCATTTACAGCTCTAGAGCTATCAGCCCCTGAAGTATAACATGCTACTTTAGAGATGCCTAATCGCTGTGTACACGAGGCTGTTAGCATTTGTAAAACAGCACCCGCCCCTTGATTCTTCCGCTTGATTGGCAATACACTGGCTTCCAACTGTTGCTCATCACTGTTTTCAGCATTTGCATTCTTGGTGAAAGCCCGCTGTAGCATCTGTATCCATGATGCACGCTCTACGTGCAAGGCAGAAGGCCAGCACAAGTACTGGAACAACAGACCACGGGCATGTTAAAATTTAATATCTAACCCCACAAAATGCCTTTTACTGCTTGCCAGTACATCACGCCTTCTTTAAATTCACCTAATGGATTTCTCTCTTCCACATTAAGCCTGGATTATTGAATGTGGCATTTAATACTGCACACTGAAAGATGAGCATAGTGGAGGTCATCGGTGAGTATCAACAGCCCGGCTAGCAGGCCAGTCCAGAAGCTAGAGCAAGTTGATGCTCTCCAGCTTCCGAACCTGAAAGACCAGCGATTGTAAAGCCAGCAAGGCTAATTTGACATGAGTGAATTATGCCAAAGCTTCCACGTCAACTTTTCATGTCCGCACGCTGTATCTCAATCTGCGGTTGAGGCCGGTACAGTGCACAGCTCTACCCGCAAAAGAGAAGTGAAGCAACAGAAGCACCATGCAACTGCAGCTCATCTGGTGCTTCCGGCTGATGCTTTCGACAAGAGTTAGTAGAGGGGTGGGCAAAATAGGGCCTGCAGACCGGATCCAGCCTGCCAAGGGACTCCATTTAGCCCACGGTCCCCGAGCCCATCCACCCTGCACCCACTGCCAGGCGGGGTCTCCATGTAGCGCAGCGTGGGACCCCTGTGGGCAGGGTGCACTCAGCTGGGCGGATGCCGGGATTGTGGGATGGGGACGAGCTGTGATCTGCTCCGCACACATCCCTGCCTGCAGAACTGGCTCCCGTCACAGGGATGTACGAGGAGTGGATTGCAGCTCTGCCCCGGCGCATCACCGCCCCACGATCCTGGCCCTAACTCCCAGCCACCAGCCTCACTCCCTACACATGGCCCCATCCCATCCGCCCAGCCGAACGCGCCCGCCCGTGCAAGTCCTGAGCCGGCCTCCAGAAAGCCTGCCCGCCTGCCTGCCAGCACCCATGGCAGCGGGTGTGGGGCAGATGGGCCCACATGGGACCAATTACCCCCACCACAGCTCACCAAAACTCCTTACGTGGCCTTCCAGACCACATCATTGCCCACCCGTGAGTTAGTAGGTGACTTGCAACTTAGTGCTTGAGAACGTGAGCAGCCTACTAATTCAGACGGGCAAAACAGAACTTGCCCTTGGCACAGCGCTACCACGTCTCACTAGCAGCGAAGGGCTGTGCAGAGGCAACAGTCACAAGAGTCCAACTCAGCCTGTTCCAGGAAGCTGTTTACGAACATCAGCAAGCCTAGACATAAAACCCGAAACGGCCGTATCGCCAGCATTGACATCACCCGCAGAACATGTTAAGACCATGACTGAGCAACAAGACGACTGCAGAACCAGGGCTCCCTGGGCCAAAGTGGGATTGTCATGAATAAGGCCTGAATTAATAGGCATTAGGAGACCTAGTGGGCATTAATAGGCCAGCGATTGTGAACCCGGTGCCCTGAGATTCTTTGAGGGGTGTTGCAAGAGGTGGGAGAAAATAAGTACAGGGCAGGCTCAGGCTCTCCCTGCCAGGCTGCCCCCCATCCCAGTGCCCAGCCCCTTTGCAAGGAGGTAAAAAGCACTGTAAGAAATAAAGTTGTTTTTTTTCCAAATGGGGTACCACTCAATTCAGAGTTATGGAGGGACACCTCGAGCCTGAACAGGGTGGGGAGCACTGGAGCAGGCTACTTTCACCCACCTGTGAAGGGAGTCAGGGGAAAGAGAGAAAGATGCACACACCTTAAATTTTGCAAGCCAGACAGAAAAAAAAGACACTACAATTCCCACCTCCACTGCCTCGCAGGATGCTCTGTGATACTGCTGAGCTTTCACAGTCCCGATCCTGAGATAAAAATCACTGGTACAGGTCATATCCTCCTCGCTGGCTTCAGCAAGTCTTATCCACCTCTACACTGCGATCTCCGGGGCCCTGTCATTCCATTCCCTTTTAAAGAGTCTGGCTTAACTGCCCCGCTCTCTCCCCGTAATATTTAGTTGCTCCCTGGCAAAAAAGAAAAGCCAAGTCTGGAAGGGCCGAGGCTGGGACAAGTCTGCCCCATCTCTGTGTAGCCATGAGACCAGTTCTGCGGTGCTCAAATTCTCTAGCAGCCAGGTTGCAGCTAATGAGAGTCAGAGCCAGAAACAAATCTCTGCATTTCCTATGCTGTGCTTCTCTTCCCTTTCATAGGGGCTCTGTTGTGTCTTCAGGGAAGCAGGACTGAGCTCTGAACAGACACAGCAACCCAGCGAAACTCCTCTCCTCTGCCTCCCCGAAGGGCATCTGATACCATCCAGAGACTATCCCATGTTGGATTCTCTCTAAAATAAATAAATAAATAAAAAAAAATACACACACACATACATACACATATATAAACACATACACACATATACATACACACACATATTCTGTACTGATACAAGCTAATTAATGAAGGAGGTCACTAAAAATGAAAGCCTTGAGACTTGACGTTTCAAACGCTTTTAACCATTTCCTCTTCCATATATTGGTTCTGAAAACATCACATCAAAGTTTATAACAGCCCACCATGTGCATCTATAGAAGACACTGGTCAAAGCTGTCATCTCTAAGAGCTGTTCAGTGACTATATGAACATAGTGGACTCGGCTGCAGCGAATGTATTTAAGTGACATTTGTTCAACTTTGGAAGCAAAATCTCTCCTTTATACTTTGGGGGGTTCTGCTTGGCAGGAAACGGATGGATCAGCCTGCCTGCGGTTCAAACATGCAAGTGCATCTGACTAGAAGCAATGGGGTAAATCCTTTAGTTTGAGCATTAATCTACCCCTGGTTAGATGCACGATTCGGGGTGTAAGAACATATTGTATATGATTCAAGAAAGACTGAAGGCATTTCACCAAGTGCTATTCAGTGGAGAGAAAGAGAGAAAGGGGCTCTGGACAGTTCAGCTGATACGCTTCCAGGCTCATGCTATGAAATATGGTTTTGTGGGGGAACGATCTCAGCCACATTTGAGCCTTCCCTCCACTGTGCAAACTGATGTCAACAAGCAACACCTGGAAATATGAGCAGCTTTATGCCACGCTTGCTCTGAAGAGGAACAATTAATTCATTCTTAATAAAAACTTCCTCCCTTTGGTATTCTAGGAGTCCAGTTCAGAGATCTGAGCTTCCATGATGCATTACAGGTGTTCATCATTTAGGATGCCTTCACTAATCAAAAAGTTAGCCTGAGAGCAAACTGGAAGCACTGTTAAGTGTGAAAACATGACTCACAAGATAAAGACAATGATTTCAAATAGGAATCTACAGCATCAATACATACATACATTCTGACCCGTTATGGTCCAAGTTCTCTGCAGTCAGAAAACTGCTGTACCATTTTCCCCATCATGAAAAAAAAAAAAAAGAGTGAAAATTAAGAGCTGGCATTTTCCAGGGGGAGCCTCGAGCCTAATGAGGGGTACCTTGAGCTTAAAAAAAAAAAAAAAGGTTGCGCATCACTGTGGTAGAGCATTCAGGATCTTAAAGCAGCTTTCAGTTAGCAAATCATTTCTACCCTGTAACAAAGCTTTACTCCAGGCACAGTGCTGCCTAACAAAATATTGCCATTAGGGACCAGCAACAGGAGGGCTGACTCAAATGCTGATGAGTCAAGAGCAAGTCACTCTTGACATATAAGGAGGTCTAAAAGGCACCAGCTGCAGTAAAACCATATCCTTTTAACCTGTTAGGGCTCTCCACGAAGGAGGGTTCAGCCTCAAACACAGCAAGCATCTCTCTTTAAAATATTCTAGTGTTGCTCCTTTTTTTTTTTTTGCCAGAGCTGTTTAAAATAGCGGAGGCAGGTTGAAAGCAGACTGACGTACCTCCCCTGGCAACAGGCTGATCGCATGCTTCTGAAACTAGGCCCTTCCCTTGCCATGCTATTTATTCCGGTTGCTTTGTCAGCACAGGGATCAGCACACGGCTACCCCTGCCTGCATTAGCCAAGGGAGCTGCAGTGCCTGGTTTTCAATGCTAAGAGGGTTTTTACTAGCTCAGCAGCATGGGCCATCAACACGAGCAGAACAAAGCAGGGAACACATTTCAAAGCGGGACTGGACTCTGGAACGGTTCAGTACGTCACCCCACGTGCAGCGAGTTGGTGCCACGCGCTGTGTGCAACGCTTGCCCGTAGCCACTCCAGCTGAGAAAGCGCTATTAGCAAAGATGAAAAGCCACAAAGCAAAGGGTGGTACCACATCTTCCTCTGTACGAAGGCACTAGCCTACATCGCTAGCCCTGCAGCTCTTGACTCCTTCCGCTTCGGTTTCATGACCAGGTACACAACACTTCACGTGAAGAGCTGTAATCTGTCGGGAATTGTGGGTCATGCCCAGATTAGCCGAGCACGGGAAGTGTCGAGGAAGAAACTTTAACTCTGGCCAATCTGAAATCTGGTTTTTGTCCACAGCCAGGCTGCAATTAGAAGCTGCCGCCATGACTTAATCCTGACCCGTAACAAGCAGTCTTTCAGTAACAACAGGTCAAATGGGTTCCCTATGCCGGTCTGCAGCCATTAGCAACTTCTAGGGGGAAAAAAAAAATCTGGACCTTTACAGATTTCAACTGCTTTTCTAACTAATTAAAAAGGTATTCTTCCTATTTCACCTGCAAACATGATGAAAAGCGCTGAAATGCTTGTATATAAGTATGGATAAGTCAGAGTATTAGGGTTAGGGGCTCCGTTCTGCCCTTAAAATGACAATATTCTAGTCTGACCTCCTGCATATCTGAGTTTCACCAATGGACCCAAGTCTGGCTTATACAACACCACCACTTACAAGAACCCAGTCTATTGCAAGGGTCAGTAATCACTCTTGAAGGGGAACGCGAAGCAGCAGGTTTGCCAGCAGCTGCTGATGCTTCCCACCCATATTTTCAGCCTGCTAAGTGCCTTAAGGAAGCTAGGCCCCTCTCTGCCCCAATTTTTAGTCTAAGCTTCAGGAAACCAGAGCACCAAGGACACAAGAGAGGACATTTGCTGCTCATGTGTTTTGTGAAGTTGCATCAAACACCTGCCCTTCCCAGTCCTCCGTCCCCTGCCAAAGCCTCAAACCCAAGTTTGCATCACTTGATGGGGAAACCTTTGCTTTGAAGACACGGCATGACCAATGGGAGCAGAAAGGCTAGAAGAATTTCATACTCCTTTTTTATTCTCTGATGGGAGAACTTGCAGTGTCACCTAGATGTGGCCAGAAGTGGGGCTGGTGACCATGGGTACCTCTTCTGAGAAAGGGCCAGGTCTTCAAGGAGACTAGACAAGGACCTGGGAAGTGACAGAAGTGCCATGCAAGCCTTAAAGATGTCTTCCACTCGAAGAGAGGAGCATGAGGAATGGTACAGCTGAACCCCATCATCGTGCAGATACGTTCCTCCTGGCTAAGCTAGGACTGGCCCACGTACTAGTCCGTTTGGAAGAAGCTGGATTCGGACTGAACTCTCAGCTAATAGAAACTATGCGTGGCATCAGCTAGACATCTAGGAAAGCCCAGCCCTTCACTTGTAACGCTAACCTTGGTCCCATTTTGCTTTAAGCAAGTGATGCCACTGTTGTCACCAAGGGGCACTGCAGGAAGGCAGGGGCCTGAGGAGAGTAGTTATGTTGCCAGTATGATGTGGCCTTGAGCAAACTGCAGTTCATTCCCTAATTTAAGCGACACAGTCCATTCCCAACCACTGAAGCACAGGTCAGGCCTGCACTTGGGGCTCCTACCAGCACTGGATTTTGTCAGCCAGCAGCTGCCCCCCTTCATGGCCTTGCCCAATATAGCTGTGCAGAAGCCCCAGAAGTACACGATGCCGCTATACCCAAAACCAGTGCTCTCACACGTATTGTGCTTCGCTTGTGGCAAAATGGTTTTCACTAGACAAGCAAGTGCAGCTGTTCTGCAATTCCTGCCTTTGCACTCAAATCACTTTGCTGGTATAGCATCTCTGCACTGATAAAGCACTCCTAGGGGCAGATGCAGCCTTAGATACTCACTCACATCATTCTCAAAGCTTTCAGAGCTGAACAACACCTTTTAACTGAATAGTGTCAAGTACCAACAAGCATCTTGCACTCTAGCTTCCTCCTCAAGGAACCATTTAGGTCTATTAGAAATGATACAGTGAAGGGAGGCGGCCACAAAAGGCCGCAGGGCCTAGGACCGATGTCATTAGTTCCACTTTAGAATAATTCTAGCATCTTAGTACTTCAGCAAGGGGAAGACAAGCGTGTATTTTAAAGAGGGGGTCTGAAAGGGTATATAGCCTGTTACCCAAGACATGCAGCAATTTAAAAAAAAAGGCAGAAACTGATGCTTTACATCCGCTCCTCCTACCAGCCTTATTTTCCTTCTGCTAAACCTAACAGAAATGGCTTCTAAAAAAGGCAAGATCAACTTCAGAATGATCTTTCAACCCAAAAATGCGTTTACATGCTGCCTACGGGTGAGAGAAGAGGATAACAAGGTGGCCAATAGCAGGCATGACTCTGGCCCAATAGGTCCCTTCCAGTGCCGGCTTACTTCCGAAATTGTACTTCCATTTCTAGGCCACCCCGTATAGCAATACCAGTTTTCTAACCGAGTATCTCCCTGGGGTAAAGGACCATTCTGGTCTCGGTAGTCAAGTTAAGTTACACTGTTCCACCCTTTGGACGGTGCAGTTGTGATCAAGATCAGTCTTTAAGTACATACCAATGCACATTAAAACCACCCCTCCAATTCCCAAAATGCAGTATCAATACTGCTTGCAAAAAATTGAATTTTAGCCAGTGATTGCAGGTAGCAAAGTCCATGACAACACAACAACCTCAAAAAGTATTCAAGTAAAGCAATATTGATGTCTGACCTGGTGCAGAAAGGGGGAAAAGTAG